ATTTCAAAATGTTACTGTTTTTGCTGTATTTTGGATCAAATAAATGCAGGCTTGGTGAGCAGAAGAGAATTCTTTAAAAACAATAAAAATCTTACTGTTCAAAAACTTTTGACTGGTATGTTAGAAGATATTAATAATTAATAAGGTGAGTCTGAGATGTTTATTTGACAGTGATTTCACATTTCTTTTTTGTATGAAGGCTAAATACAAATAAAAGGTGAACATTAATTTATTTGTGGTGTTTTTTTTTATTAAAGTATTATATGGTTTTATATGAGGTGTCAGACTTGGCAAATAAATTTTTCATAAGTTTGTTTGCACAGACATCCGTTGTGGGCGTTTTTGGCAGTTTTTACAAGGCTTTTTAAAATAGTGTTCATATCGATATCGGAATGATATCGTATCGACCGAAATTAAGAAATATATCGTGATATAACTTTTGGCCATATCGTCCAGCCCTAATCTCTTATTATGCTATATCATCACCAAATCCTGGATTGTTTTTGTCATCTTGTTTTCTTTAAATTGGCACAGGTTTTGCATTTCTTTTTGAAACTGACTGATCGCAGGCATCACTGAGCTGAGCTTATGCACATTAGTTTTTGAGTAAAAAAGGCATTATCTGTGGATAATTTTGGCAATGCTCACTCAAAAACTGAGGTGCGTAAGTTCATATCAATGAGGCCTATGATAAAATAGTTCAGTGTTTCCCACAGACTTGCACTCTTTGTGTGGCGGCACTTCCCCTAGGGGAAATACAGGCTTAATATAAAACAGCAGAAGCTAATTGATTGAAAATGCAAATTAATTCTCTGCCAGCAGGAGGCGCTTTTGGAGCTTCAGAAATGGCGGTTTCCCCGGTAATGGCTGTAATCAAAGCAGCGCTCCGCTCATAAACACTACTTTAGCGGGCATTATAGGAAAGATTAAATGAAAATGACATCGAAACTTTTTTAAAGACAGTCAGTTCCTTTTGAAGATACAATCATATAAAAACACCCATGCCTGCAGTGCTCATGTTTATTCAACGAAGTCAAAGCCTTTTGTAAAATCTATTTGTGGCGGTCAGTTTTGATATTGTGGCGGGCCGCCACAAATAAATCAATGTATGTGAAACACTGTAGTTCCAAAAAATAAAAATAAAATAAACATTTCTAATTGAAAGGAAACAAGTTGATAAAAAGATTGAATCCAATGTTTGGTAATGCATAGCATAATTTTTTGTTGGCCAGTAATTTTTGACCAGGAACACCACAAGTGTAACAAGGTAGGGGGGAAAAATCCTTATACCCTGTGTGAGCAAAGTCAGTAAGTTTTAGTCCAATGCAATAACACTAACTTCTCCAGGTCAAAAAGACCAGAACAACTGGAAAAGGCATGTTTTTCAGAATACCCCAAAGATCTGTGGATTTTCCTGCTGAATTGTACAATAATACAATCCATGTAGTCCTACTGATGATTCATAGCTTAAGATAATATTGACGTTTTATTGTTGAGACCTTCTCAGTATTCTTTCCAACAAGTCTTTGGAAAGTTTAGTATTCCCCATGATGTGATATCCACATTCCCCTCCTGTTCCATTATTCTATATTTGCTTTATTCCCCTCTCCTCTATGGATATAACCTTAGCTGTCATTGTCAATTCACACAGCTATACAGTATATGAACAACGGGACACATTCTCTCTCTTCTTATAATCATGAACATCTGAAAATCTCCTTTTTCTTACCCTCCTCTTTCTCTCTCCCTCGCCTCCTATTTCTCCTGCTTGTCTTCTTTATTCTGTCTGTAAGCTGAATGTGCCCTGTGACAGGTCTTGTCAGAGATTTCACAATCCTGACATAGCGTTAACTTGGAAAGCACCTGTAAGAATGGATGTGTGCGTATGTCATAACAAAATTGTGTTTGAGCAGGTTTGCGAGATGGAAGCGTAACAGGCTATAGATTAGGGCTGGGCGATATAGTTAAAAAATGTATCAACGATATAATGTTTCATATCGTTCGGTATCGATAATTATTGATATTTTTTAGAACCTTTTTTAAAACAAAGAGCAATAGAATTTTTTTTTACATTTAACCACTGTATTTTTTAATTAACTAAATTTATTGAGACAAACAACAAATATTTTTTTGTTTTAATAGTCAAAAACAAAATTAAAATTAAACAAATATCTAATTTCTAATGTTTTATATGTATGCAGATTAAATGGGTAAAATTTTTGGCTTGTCTCCCGAGGCCACAGGAGACAAAATAATGCAGCACATTTTAAATGTTCAACGCAAGGAAGTAATAGTCTATAAAAAATTACGTCTAAATTAACTCATATAAATCAAATATAATTTCGTAAATTGCATAAACAATTATGAACAAAACAGCAACTGCCGAAGCGCCATTCACACAGGCTGCATTTAAAAACATATGAGACGCAGTGAAAAGGAATAAACCTCCACAAATTTGTGACGTGTTTTCTAAAAGTTTAAACTGTTTTAACTTTGCATGGCTACATCTCTTGTGTGAGACGCGAGTGCAACAGTCATATTTGTCAGTCTAGAAAATGCGCTGAATATGCGTTCTGTGTGAATGGCTTGGTTTCGGTTTTAACCTAATCAAGATCTTCTACGCATTGAGCTTCTACATTTCTCTAATATTTTGAATGAATAATGCAGCAACTGCGCGTCTCGTGGGTTAGACTAACAAACATTAAACTACAACGTCACTTACATCATCATAACCGCATCTCGCGCTCCACTGATGACGCTCCCTGACACACATCTAACATTGGATTGTACTATTTTTGCATTCAAATGCAAATGTTTATTTTAAATTCGACTAATATTCATTCTTTACTCACAATCTCCTCATCACAGGCAGGCACAGCCCTCATGTTCGTGTTTGTGTGTGCTGTCTGCGTCACTCATAGCACGTGCCTATATCGTGCACTATATTGAAAATGTTTTATATCGTTATCGAAGAAGGTGTACCATCGATAAATATTGATACCGTTTTATCGCCCAGGCCTACTATAGACCACCATCAAGGCTTGATTACAATGATCCACAATCAGTGAAGGGCAGCCAGAGTTTTAGATGCTGATGGGATTCAGATTGAAGACTAATGCGGTGGTGATGCAACTAAAATATTCCATAATTGTGCATTAGGCAGAGTACGCTTTAATGCTTAAATGTGTGTGTGTGTGTGCGCTCATGGTTTATTCTACAATGTGAATCTAGCAGGTCTGTCTCGGAATGCATGAGGATAGGTGGCCCTTGTTGTCTGAGTACCTCTCAGTGTGTCTCTATGTGTGTGTGTTGTGGATGTCTTGAGGGAGAAATGCTTGTGGTCTATGAAGAATCTCAACTGTCTGACACAACATTAATATTCTCACTGCCTGCATTGTCTCTTTCCCTCCCTGCTCTGTCTGTCTCTCCATCAATCTTTGTATCTCCCCTCTATCCCTCTTATCGGAAATCCTACCACCTCCTGCCTCTCATTATTTAAAAAAATGTGTTTATAGCTCCCTTTTGTATTCTTTTCCCTCTCTCAGGAAGTTAGTTTGAATATCTAAGTTGCTGTAAAAGCAAATCTATGCATCATAACCCTGCCCCCAGCATTTCTGAAATGCATTTAAATGCACTGGGTTTGGAATGGCATGCTGCCTACTATTTTTTAAAGCAGGTACACTGTAAAAAGTAATCACTGAATCTACTTAAGAAAAGCGAGTAAACATAACAGATTTTTACAAATTTGTTGAATTTACTTAATTACACTGTGTTATGTGAACTTTCAGGTGGATGCAATAGTTAAACTAAACAACTTTAGTAAACAGTACTTAAGAGCATCTAGTTTGTTGGATTAAATCCCACTATGTGCCCTAATAACTCTAGACCAGTAGGTGGCGGAAGTGCACCAATAGGTGGCGGAAGGTTGGTTTAAACAAAACCTCACTAGAAGACAACGAACTGAACTTCAGAGTCAGATTCGTGTTTGAAATGTGGCCGCAAGATTAGGTAAGTTTTTGGTGATCTACTTATAAACTATATTGTCACAGTGTGTGCTATCGTTTTTGAGGAAAAGAAAAGGCCGATTTTATTAGTTTTTACTGACGAGCATTACTGTAACCATCAGTTAGTGTACTAGCTAGCCAGTGGCTTACAAGCTAGATTACAAGCATCGATCTTCCTCTTTACTGCTAGTTATAACATGAAATAAACGTGAGTAAGCATCATAAAGTATGTTAAGCGATACAGTACAACTTAATGAAGTTTATCATGTCTTATGTAATCCGTTTTTCAGCATTTAATGTTTGAACAAATGTCATGAAAACAAGTTATCATCACAACCACTGTTTAAATGTTTATATTTCAGAAAATTATAGAAACTTCATTTAAAATAGTTTTTAAATGTGCGTCAATGCCCAGCACTAATTATAACCATTTTCTTGTCATATTCTGTGTGCTCTTTTTTTGGGGACTTAAACTCATGCAGTAGAAGTGGAAGTTCTACTTGTTTATTGAGTGAAAAGAGAGCTAAACTGCTGAAAAACTTATTAAAATATGGAAGCTATGGAATATGAAAATTCTCCAATTCCATGTTTCCACATAGTATATGCTTATTCACATAGGTGTGCTAAATGAAAAATCATACTTTGCAGTTTTGTGAAACCCTGCACAGAATAAGTAGATATTCATTATATGTTATGCTGAATGCTTGTGCTTTGAGTGATATTAAATATGAGTTTTTTTAATAATTGTACAGACATCTGACATCAATGGGCGATGAACAGCAGTTCTCCACGGCCTTCCACTCTTCCTTGAAAAGGACCTTACTGATTTTACAAGACATGTTTTGTAAGTAATTTTGTCTGTTATATTCTGGTTAAGGACATCGTTCACGAGAGTACCACGACGTATGCGTGTGATGCTGCTGACGCAGGACCCGGCGTTCTGATGTAGAACACGCATGCACTGTACCTTGTTTACAAGCAGAGGAATGCACAAGCATTCTCAGATATCATCACAAATATCTTAATTTGTGTTCCGAAGATGAATGAAGGTCTTACTGGTTTGGAACGACATGAGAGAGTAATTAATGACAGAATTTTCATTTTTGGGTGAACCCTTTTTAAATAAGAGTAAGAAAAATAATGTGAAGAAAGAAAATAGAAATTAGGTAACAAGGAGTCTGACAATTTAGATGAAGGAAGAGTAAAGGAAACAACACAAAGAGGAAAGAAGTCAGAAAGGGAGGACAGAAAAGAATAAAGGTAAGTAAGTGAAAGAAATATAAAGAAATAAAGAAATAAAGTAATCAGATAAGCAAGAGAACAAAAACAAAGAGTAATATATGAGTGATAGAGACGTGAAAACCATTCGTTTAAGACATGGCCTATGAGGGTGCTCTCTTGATCATGGTTTTGTGGTCAGTCTTTAGAAATCACACAAAAGAGAATATATAGGTCAGTATTGAACCAAAATGCTGTTGTTGTTTTTATTGTTTTTTTTACACTTTTCAAATGTCAAAGCAGCAGTTTCAGAAAATGCCCTGTTGTTGTGCTAACAATCTGCTTTCTGTCTTTGTATTAACAACTTTAAGTTTTGAGTACAGCTTACTTGAGAAATTTAAGGCAATCTGTTTCCACACATTTGTCTAGTAATGTGAACAAAGCAGACTTGTTAAGAGAACTGTTTTGTTTGAGTTCTGTGCACTAAGCAACTTACATCTCTAAGTTGGCTGAACTTGTCAAATTGAGTTAGCAACACTCAAGTTTTCTGGTAACCTATACATATACACAAGTTACCTATACAAAGTTGCAGTAAGTTTTATTAACTCAAAAATGATAAACTAATTTGCTTGAGAAATTTGAGGCAATCAGTTTCCACAGGTTTTCCAAGTAAGCTCAACTAATTACTTTTTACAGTGTACTAATATGCAACCTGCATACTGCTGTGCATGGTATGTAAATGATCTGTATGCATGCAATACCCTGATGAATTAATACGTTCCCCAAAATGTTCAGTATTTAACCTGGGCACACTGCATTGCATGCTGAGATATGCAAGGATGTCTTCAATACCTAGAGAGAGCCATCTGATTGCATTCCCATTCTCATCTCAGTTTATAAAATCCACAATATATGATTAATACAAAATTCTGACATAAGCAGCTACTTTTGAATGGTTGTAAATGAAGAAAGATGGTATTTGCTCACAGAATGATGCATGGCACTTACGGATGGACCATGCTTTCTTGCCTTGATCGCAAAAAGCTATTGCTAATTTGATAACTATAATAAAATGTAAAACTTAAAAAATGCAAAATAACTATATTTAATTCAGAGAAGATATCAGCTGAATTTAACACGTAAAACAGTAAGGCCATGTGACAATGTAGCATTGTATTATCCTTGCATATGGTTTCACCCATTGTAAGAAAAGTAGACAGAAAAAGTAAATAAGCAGAAGTATACCATTCTGCATGCATGGAAAAGCCAGATTACTTATTTGCTTAAACTTACAGTGTACAAACTAAGCAAACTATGTGGGTTAGTGCATCCCACAATGCAATGCACTCAACTGGACCCTCCATTTCCAGTTTGACAAATTAACTGGTAGCCATAACAGAAGTACATTTTAAAATCTACTTGACTTATTTAATTGGACAAACAAAATTAAATCAAAATGCACAATATTTGTATTAATTAACTGAATTCATTTCCTGAATTAAACATGGAATGTTGAAGCAACATGCAACACATCATGAACTGTAGCATACTACAGTCTAAAATGTTTACTGTTACATATTTTTCAGAAATATTGCACTGAAGGACAATAATCAAACATTTCAAACAGTAGTATGCCATACTTGTCACACTGAAACCACCTTGCATGTGAGTGGCATGCAGTATGCTAATATTTCATTCCGAACATAGCCTTTGTATTGGCTATAAAAGTAAATTCCCAACACACAAACACTCATAAAACACACACCTCCCACATCCATGCCCTTTCCACTGGGACTTTCCATTGACACAGGGCTTCAGCAGTACTATTCTAAAAGGCTGCATAAACCACTTCCTGTCTCTCATACCCACACAGAATTGCTCATTAGGTGTCCAGTATCAAGTGTGTATTTTAACGGGAAACACTCACACATATTTATCTGTGGGCAGCGGACAACTACAAAGACCAAGAGCTAAATGACTCCCTGACATTGCATGCAAAGTAACTCACCCACACAGGCTACTGTAAACACTCAACTCTGTGATGCATCCACCTACTCGCACACCAACACACATCCTGCCTGAGGTACCTACATGGTCTGCACCTCAATGTGCTTCAAAAATCCACAATAAGCAATAAAATAAACAATAAACCCATGTATGCTGCTAAAACAATGAAACTGCATATGCTACCTATCTGTGAGAATACACAAACACCAACGGACACGCACACGTTCCGCTCGCTTTCAGGGGCGGATGAGAAGAGAGCACAGCAGGACATTGATATTCAGAACACCCACACACAGTGTGGTTAGGATCTGAGATCTGGACTCTCAGAGAGTTTCCTAGTTAACACACACACACACGCCGCAGTCCTCTACAGTCTCATCATTAGGCAGACTCACTCGCAAAGTACACAAATTTACTCAAAGTGCACACGGCATTATTCCCAACCAAACTGCTCTGCGCATTGTAAACACAAACAGGTTTCACTCCCCCCCCCCAAAAAAATATTGGGATAAACCCATGAACGATGCTCTATTATGCACCAATTTTTGACCAAACGACCAATTTTTCTGCCATCCACATTGAGATGCGCTGTATGCATGCAGCAAGGAATATAAACTAAATGACTGGTCAGACACGCATGGCAAAAGCGGCATCAATGGAAATAGCAGAGATTAAACCTTGTGAATGTTTGTAAAGGGTAGACAGATGATGCCTAAGCTCATGTATTAACCATAAAGAAATTTACACATCAAGGCAGCCAATTGGATTTCTGATGCAGGCCTACACGAGACAAGAGTAAATGATGAAGCTGAAATGTGCAGGGAGCATCGGCCGCAACAATCCTGAGCTGCCCATGTCGATGTCGGGAGGGGGGGTAGTATCGATCCCCATTTGTGCTTTCTAGTCCAAGTTTAGCTGTGAAATGGGGCGACACTGAGAGACTCAAGGCAGCTTGAACTTAATCAATGGAGATGAAGGTTTTGTTTCCCATTTCGCTCGCTCAAGGATGACACACTGAGGATAATTGCAGTCTTGTTTTTCAATCACCGAACAAATGTAGGGTGATAAGAGCGATGAAGTGAGCCCTGATGAAGGCTCCTTAGACCTAAGAAATGAAGTAGGCATTAGTTCCACCAACTTGTCTTTGAGGCTTCCAACTCTTTTGCCCTTCAGTAGTAACGTTGTATGTAATTTCCTATGTAATGACGTCCCGTCCACACTACTTAATCTGAGGGTCTGGAGTCGAACTACATCGTGCCTCATGCCATAATGAAATAGATTCGCTTCACTTGGAAGTTTCCACTGATTTTAACTTTCCTGGACGTTTGAAGTAGTTGCATTTAACTTCTGGTCGCACCCGACTGCCACTGAAGTGAAGTCGAATTACATTTTTGCATGAGTGAATGTGCAAAACACTGGAGAGAGATTTCAAATTCCCTCTGATGTTCTCATTACTGTGCTGATGGCAGCCAAAGGGTCTGAGATCTTATAATTACTGCATCAATAGGCAAATTCTCAATTATAACAGAATACCTAATTATTACGTCCAGATTCAAAATAGCCTTTTCTTGATGAATTGTCTGAAGTGCTTCATTTTAACTGCATTCAAGGGAGAGTCAGAGGTGGTTGTCTCTTTATTAAAATCAAACGTTTTCGACTTCAGGAGAAAGAAAATCTCAGACATGGCACCCAGTGGTATAGTTGTTAAAGTCAAGCTCTGACAATGCAAAAAGAGACTCAAGCAAATGAAAGCTCTATATTACAGATATGCCCTAAAAGTTGACGCCTCACATGCTCCTGATTGAATAGTCACAATATATTTGCAATAATTTTGCTGGTGATGCACAATAAAGAAAAAAAAATGTATTCTAAATATGCATTTTATTTACCTGTCAAATTTCCTAAAGACATTTCATAATCCCACCTCATCTTGTCTAACGTTAAATCAGAGCTCTCAAAGAAAAGATATAAATATAAGTGATGCACTAATATTAAAATTCTGTCTGATACCGATAAGTCAATTATATTCATGTCATTATCATTAAAACTAAAATCTATTTTAAATTCTACAACTGAATTTAGGCATTAGTAGGGCTGTGCGATATTGAAGAAAAATGCGATATGCGATAACTCATTAAATAATGCAATATTTGATATGCGATACGATAATGCTTAAATTGCCACATGCTCAGATGAAACAGTTTTACTCCGCTGTTGCTGAGTCAGTTAAGTGGTGAATAAAGCTCATTCTGATTCTGATTCTAATAAGAAAGCACCCCTACAACAACTTTTGAAGGTGAACGGTATGTGTTTTACTCGAGCATTACATAAAAATGTCATTTTAACATGAGTTTAGGAACTGAATAATAAAAAGGAAAAATAAAACACTGCTTAGTATTGTTTATTATTTAAGATACAAAAGTTATTTAGGTAAGAGCAGTGAGTGATTTTCTCTTTGTCTTTTGTTCATGGCCCCAAATATTGCAAGCTGTAGCGATATGCATATTGCGATATGTACATTTGCGATATTTCGATATATTGCACAGCCCTAGGCATTAGGCCTACATTATAATGTACAGTATAAAAAAATAGATATTCACTTTCAGATTAAAAGTTTACAACTATAATTTAATAACACTGTTACACGGATTTAAAGATGAACTTTAAGAGCGCATTAGATCATAGCAAAGGTAAACTACAACTGAAATGAGCATGCACAATTAAATACTCAATATATTTAAAAATAAAAATTATGAAATAAAAAGTCTTAAAGTCTCTTAACACATATGGTACTGATATATTGTGCATCCCTAAAAAATAGACATATACGTGATATGTATTGTGAAAAAGTAGAGATTTCTGCTACTTCCATACTTAAACACAGAACAAAAGAGAATTAATATACATTCAGAATATTTATTAAAATATTACATTGTGTTTTGCTTAAGTAAACCTAATCGATTAGACTCCACATACTGGTGACTTCCATCACATTACAATGTATGAACATTTGCATCTTGAGAACAAAAGCAATTTATCTAGCCAGTGAAAATAATAGGGACCTCTTCAGTGTCGCAGACATACTGTACAACAATGCAACGGGACTTGAAGTTGGGGTGGCTCTCCACTACAGCATTTGCATTCAAATAATTGAGTCTGGAATTGGCTTTACCTGTCAGGAGTGGGAAACCCATCTCTACAGGATTTGGCGCGTTGGTTAAGTGAACAGTCCATAAACTTGGAGCTGATGGAATACTAATGGCTTGTGATGGTGATTGAAGTCAAATGCACACTCGTGTGCACACTCGCTCGCCTGTTCTAGAGAGACACTGCGTTGCTATTCTTCCACCATTAACATCCCATGGCACTTCCGTGTCAGACTTTTTCAAGCATTCCACTGCAC